TTTTTTTCTCAATGACTTTTGTTGTGGCATAGTCTGCTGGCCAGCAATGAACCTTTCTACACCTGTATATGCCATCTAACGAATCAAACACTAAACTGACTTAAGTAACAAAATTACTAATGTGCAATATAAGGAAAGTCTTTTAGTTTCATTAAACCTAATATGTGATAACTGTTCGAAGAAGGCTTAGTTTAGTAGAGTATGGCCGTAATTCTCTGTGTAACAATTCTATAAAAGGGTGGTACGAACAGTTTTGGTTTTTACGAACCATTAACAGTGAATGGTCGAACGACTGGGGAGTGTCCAACATATTAGACTCAAGGGTAATCACCTCAGAAGAAACATAACTTAAATAACAGTTTAGGTGATTTTTACAGTCTTTTTATAACTAATTTTCATAATTGCTGATATTTTTTAAATCATTTATTTGCAGTTACTGTATAAAACTGTTTTAAATTTTCTACTTGATTAAACAATTCCAATGTTTCCAAGTTGCTTGGTTATTTATTTATTTAATCTTAAAATGTGTACAATAATTTATGACCACCATGTATATCTTGTAACCGTTACCTAAACTGTTACTATTGCACACTTAATAGCATTCATCTAAAACACACATTCATGTTGAAGTTTGCATTATACAGGTGCAACGTTTGGAATTATCAACAGTTCTAACAAGCTCTTTAGCTCTTACAGGTATGAACAGTCGTTATTGCGTCATTAGTCTATGCATTAATAGGTTGTTTGTAGTTTTGTTTTACTGTTAATAATATTAGCTTTTCTCTTAACACAGACATGGTTATAATTACCAATTCTAGATTTAGTAATATTTTATAGTTGAAACATCAATGGTTTCGGATAGTTTTGGAGAGATGATGATTTAATTTTCAACTCATTTTACGCTATTGACTGATAGGCAAAAACTTTTGGACATTTCTCTAGCTGTATCCGATTGTAACAATAATCAGTGTAAAAACTGTGCTGAGAGTCATCCAGAGGTGTATACTATGTTAGAAACATAACAATGTATATACGAAAGGTTATATGATAAATGAAACATAGCCAAAACCTCTGGTCATATTATACCTATAAACAATATACTGGCCTAACATTTTCTTTAAGCAAATTTGCGACTTTGTTTAACCATTCTAAGGCCATTCATTACTTAATCTTATAGCTAAACTTGATTACAATAATGATAAAATAAATAAAATAATTTACATTTCCATATGTTTTTGTTGCATGTAGAACAAACATTTACATTATATTTAACTAGTTTAGTTATACTTTAACTAGTTTGTATGGAATAAGTTTTTACATATTTTATGTCTTGTTAATAAAATCTGGATCAATATTTTTTCATGTGTTAAATTTATTTAGATATTTTTTCTTAAGTGTCATTTAATTTCTATTTAAACGTTCATTACAATATGATACCACGTAACATTTTGATTTTTGGCTTACATTCTTGGAATGAAACTTTTAAAAAAATTTTAAAAGGCCATAATTCAAAACTGTTAAAAGTTGTAAAAATACAGTATTTTGGAAACTTTTAACAAAAAACTACTTTAAATACTATATAAGGTTTCATAAAATATCAATTCGCTTTCAGTTATTAATTACTTCTGAAAAATTACAAAATGGCTGGTTATAGCTGAACTATGCCGTAATCGGACAACCATTGTGATTGACATTTTCGACGTTTCATAGTAATTACGTAAAATACCGAAGTGCATAGCCTGTTACACATTTTTGGGACATTGTAAAAATATTTCTTTTGAGAAAAATGACTCATTTTGCTTGTCTTCTTGCGTGCGTTTCCCATGAAAACACCAGAACAGCATTGAGAAAGAAAATCTATGCCCTATTTAACTGTTATTCACTTACTTCTTAAAGTTTAATTTTTTACTACAAACAGAATAAATGCAAAATAAAACATTCGTTCACATGTTTGATGTACATTTTCACAAAGCTGATTAAAACAGTCGTATTCGAATGTTTTGAAAAACTTTGTGATATCTTTTTTGTTTATTGTAATTAAATTTAAAAGGTCTAGTTTGTGAAATTCTACATTCATTGAATATAAAAAAATATAGCTTCCACTATAACGTCTTTAAGTGCAATTTTTTTTATGTGCATATTAACACTATTTTTGCAGGTGATAATCAATTTATTCCATGTTAAAATATCGGGCGCAGTAAAATAAATGTCTATATAAAAAGTTGTCATGCTTATTAAAAAAAATTAGACAGTTTTATATATTTTAAAGTTTTACTTTTATTAAGAGCCTTCAGAAGGCGAACCGTGATTCGCTACACACAACAGTCTGCAGAGCGGCATTTAGTTTGTTACGGATGATTAACATATTTATTTCTAGAAAAAATATAGCACTGACTGTATGCACCATAAATCCTTAAAATATTCACAGTAAACGGTTTTGGATAGAAAGTTATAGAAAGTACGCAAAACTTGTATACGAAAAAATATTCTCAATACTAATCTGGCATTAAAAAATTAAAAATAAATATTCAGTTACAAAACTATCATAGCCTTTTACAGTCTTGAATTGTTTTTTACCTTGTATTAAAAGACATTGTCCTTTAAAAAATAAAAAAATAAAATTTCTTTACATTAATAAATTACAACGAAAGAGGATTGTAAACGAAATTGTAGCATTATAAAATCAATCTACTGTATTTTACAAAGTCGTGGGAAAGAAAAATCTTTCCAGATACTAAAAAGTTAACATTATAACAAAGGTTTCATATTTTTTTGAATATTTAAATCTGCTTTGAATATTTTAAATATAAAATTCAAAAGTGACCAATAAATAAATACAAATTTTATAATAATATTTTATTGTTATTTCTTCTACGTCATAGATAAAAACAATGTTTGAACATTCAATTATTATACTAATTACGATGATACCAATATTTTATATGATTTTAATGATCAACTATTCGCGAACAATAATATTGAATAAGTTAATTATAATATCACCTCCAGCTGATTGGCTTCTCTCAATAACAATATCACCTGATTGTATTCATTGCCTGATTGGCTGCCTTAAAGACCCATTTACTTATCGTTTATTGTTATAGAAATATACATTACAAGGATATTAAATATACATTTAGATTTACTTATTACACTGCAATTATGGAATAAGCTGATTTAATCAACGCTTAATGTAATCTTTTTATATTTTTAGAGAAAAGACAAGTTGAAAATGTAACTAAATTCTTCCAAAGTCTTAGTAAGGATAAAGTGAAATACATTGTGTTACTTATTAATTGATGCATTATTTAATTAGTGATACTTAATTGACAAGCTTTTCAACCCACTGTACACAAAGTGTTAAATCTGTAATTTGTAACACCAAATTTAAGAGCAATAATGGTAAAACAAATATAAAATATTGAGAATACTTATTGTTAAATCAACAATTAAGAGTGATTTATTGTTAAGAGAATTTTAACTCTTAAACCAGGAATGAATAATTCCTCATTCAAGGATAATATTTTCAGGAAGATATTATAAATCATTCACTGTCAGATTTCGCTAATTAGGCCTACGCTATCGTATTTTCTAATTTAAATTAAAGAATAAACATTATAATCTTAGGGATTTCTTTAATAACGAGATAATCTAATGATTTAGAACTTATTTATACGAATAACTTAATTTTTTCTATGCAATTAGAACTGCATTTACGTGTTAGCGTGTCTAGAAGAGTTGAGAATTAAAAAAATTGTGATTTTATAAAGGGCAAAATTTAGGTGTATATGATTTCACCAGTATACAGAGTAGTTCGCTGCTTCACTCTTCTGACACTGGTACAATGTTTGGAGATCCAATTACAAGTATAACACGATAAACCCGCTCTCTACTGCAGTGACATCACGGGTCATGATTATACACGTCCTAGTTATTATCTGACGTACAAGTCTTACATATGACGTCACAGTTATACAGAGTAGTTCGCTGCTTCGCTCTTCTGACACGGGTACAAAGTTTGGAGATCCAATTACAAGTATAACACGATAAACCCGCTCTCTACTGCAGTGACACCACGAGTCATGATTATACACGTCCTAGTAACTATCTAGTATATGATTATGTTTACATTCGTTGTTTCTAAGTTTCCAATTATTTCCTAGATTGAAAATTTAAGGCTTCGTGAATTGGGTTCTGGTATTACATTGTATATGTATCTAGTTCGTTTGCTAGCATATTCGAACGGTTTAAATCATTCTTCTCACCAGGCTCTTAAAGATAAGATTTAGGTATCTAAGTAGTCTAAGTAGTAGTAGTTAAGTCTAAGTAGGAAATAATAAATTGTAAAAACATAGTCTTATGGACCTAATGGAAAAATAAATCCACGGTAATTTGCAATGCTCAGAATTATTTTCCAGTAGCTTTATTTTGATTAATGTATACAATTGATATAGCTTAAATAAATAACTATGTGGTTCAACAGCATTCTGAGTTTTACAACAGTTTTATCTAAGCCCTAAATAAAGTAGAGAACCACCAGCACTGGTCTCTGCTGCATTTGTTTGATGAGTGTGTATTAATAATGTTCTTGCATCCAAAGGCATAGATGGATGATGAGGATGAAGAATGTGTCATATCTCTGTAGTTGCTTAAGGTGTGCTTTTATACCATTCAGAGATTTGGTCTGCTAAGGCTAGTCCATTGGTATCACCTGAGGGGGTGAATGTGATTTGCTTTCACTATCAAAACGTCTGAAGGTAAACTACTATCTAAAGATGTACTACTATTACAATTCAAATTTTGGAAACAATTAGTATTATATAGATAGAAATTAAAAGACTCATCAGTACCTTCTGTATGAATGGAGTCTCCTTTATATGCTTGTGGGTTTGGTTCTAGATTAGTTAATTGTATTTTTTTTTTCAAAATGAACTCAATTTTAAGTGTTCTTCGTTTAGTTCTTTCTGACAGACCACATTAGCTATTTATTTTATCTTGTCCTACTCACATGACTTACTGACACTTCCTGATCCATATTTTAACACTAGAAGAATTAATAACAATATAAGAAGTAATAACAATAGCTAAAAATAAATTGTATTGAGGGTTTTAGCTGCATTTCATACTAAGCTAGGCCTAGCATTTGATCTTCTTTTCTCTCGTCCTCCTTCTCTATCTTTTGTGAAGCGAAACCACTGGCTTGAAGTAGAATATACTTCGTCATCGGAAACTGCTTCCATTCCTATGTTCTTCCTGACAAAACCTATTGAACACTTTATATTAGATCTGATGAATCGATAACAGAATTGAAAAGTTGCATGTTGCATTAAAAAATACAATGTATAAATGAAAATCGAATGTGACATCTGTGTGGATGTGATATCTGGGAACAAATTATGATCACCTGGATGTATTTCATACCATAATGTCTCATACAGCAATGTCTTAGGTCTTACCAATCATGATACTGGAGAGAAGCTAAAACCCATTTATCAATGGAGAGGCCCCACTGAATGTTGGTTGGTTGTATGTTTTTTATTTTTGCTGTAAGCGGTTCAGATAGTATGAGTTCTACTGTACTGAACCTTTACTCATTTAAGTGTGGGAGGGGTGCAATCTACATGTATGGCGGGGGAACCACAAAAAGGACTTGCCAATGTTTAACTTAAATTTAATAGATGATATTACATTTAAAAAATTTTTGAATTTGTCAGTCATCGCCAGAAACTAATTATCATATGCTAATGGCTCTATAAAATGGATATAACGAAATTAAATTCATTTTACAGTTGTAGAGTAAAGCTCAAGATATAAAATACACATAAAGCTATATAAAAATATTAATATAATATATGAATTTAGATTTTTCAATTATATCAATTATTTAAGATGGAGATGCCACTATGTACATATTTTAACCCAAATATGAGTGAAGGATAAGTGTAAGATGAGTGGCGCGATCTTGTAGTCTTGTCTTACCTAAGGCTGACATGTTCCTTAGACACAGCTGTTAATTAATAGCCCATACAGCCAATGGCAAATGGGACAGTTTATGGTGGAATCCAAACAACATTTTTCTTTGCAATAAAAATAATTGGTCTAATTATCAGGATACTACTGTGGATAGTCGTAGTACTCACTAGTGTGGACGTTAATCCACACCAGGGATTATTGCATCCACAGTGCATCCATTTCTATTCGTGAGTAGTTGGATTACAGGACGACGCCATCGTCTCAGTCAGTATTTGACCCCCCAGAAATACTATCGCATATCCCTATAAAATTGGATATTTCTTTCACAAGTTATAATGTTTAATGCACTTTGTATGCCTTACAAAGAATCTCAACAATAAAGTAAACTCACCTGGTAACAGTTTCATAATGACCAGGTCTTTCAAGGAGAGCTTTTGGTTTTTCCCTGTCCAGTTGTACTGTGCAGCAACTTGATTGGTGAAGAGTCTTTCAAGGATCCGCCTGGTCACGTTGGCCGGCTTTTTCCCTCCAACAAGACTAAGATGCTTTGTCTGGAAAATAAAATAAAACTGCTATGAAACCAACATACCTAAGCCATACGTGTATCCACCATATTGAGGTTAAAATTCATCCTTTGTAATAATGAAGTATGCAAATAATATCAGAATGGAGTTTGGAATTCAAGCAAGATTAATTCAACATTGGATCACCTGAATGTAAGTGCAGCTCTACAAAAATCAAATTTATTGATTATGAAGAATTTTCATTTAAAAAGGAAATTCCATTTAAGTTGATATTAGATTATAAATACAGTAATATTATACAATTAAAACAACTTTGTATCTGATATTTACCAACCAGAAGTTTCTGTTGTTATGTTCTCCATAGATCAAACGTGGCCGGTAAACTGTAAGTCTATATATTGAGTAGTATCAAGTTTTCTTAGACAGTTATACCATCAGTTAGTTTTGGTACTATGCATTTTTAATACAGTATTAACAAATCAGCCACACACCAAAGTTAAAACATTGTCTTCATTCGCTAGCCAAGTATCCAAATCCTCAACCTCCTGTACAGTACCGCAAGGCAGTGTGATATCAATTGGCGCCAAAGGATGCGTGTTCTTTAAGTGAGCTTGGGTCAATCTCTCTAATATTTCTCGTTGAATATTTTCAACGTTGGTCATACGATCATTGAGCTGGATGAGAAGCCATGCTATTGTATCAATATTGCAATTGGAACCTAAAAAAACACAGGGCACACTTATTAGACAAACCAAAAATAAAGTACTTGACATTAAAAAAGGCTGCAGAAGAATTGATGACGAATGATTCGAACGATTATTTATATAACATCCTACAACCATATGACTAAATACATCATTTGAATACCTTTTGAAGGAAAATAATTGAAGGAAAATAATAACACCAGGGATTTTCCTCCGGGCGCGTTTGTTAAAAAAAAAACATATATGATATCACCAGCCGGAGCTTTAGGAGTAACAGTACCTATTGTACATCTTTCTAGGAACCAATAGAACATTGTTTCGAGCTCACACCTCCCTCGAAAAACCCCTATTAGTTGAAGCATGTTGAAAACGGCTTGGTGAGTCACTGATGGTGTTTTTATTTTTGTTTGCTATGTATATTTAAAAATATGTAAAATAAGAGTTTTTATTAGTTCAATATACAATTTTATTGATTATACATGGGTTTAATACGTTTTTGTCTCAATTTATGTACAAACAAATTTGTTTGTCCAATGTTTCAACCCCCAGAAAATAACTCCATGTGTCACAAATTGTGTTGCTTTGTTTGCTATATATTTTATAAATGTGTAAAGTATGTGTTTTTATTGGTTTAATGTACAATTTTATTGATCATACGTGGTTTTAATATGTTTAAAAGTATTAAAGTAAGTCTAACTTTTTAACACCCGGGGAAAACTCTGTCACTGAACATGTTTTCAAATCAAAGACACCAACAAAGGGTTTATATCAAATAAAATCTTTATTTTCGAATCAAATCTATAATACTGCGTTGATCCTGCCAAAAACTCTAAAAACTGTACATTTTTAACCAATTGAAGTTTAACATGACTTAAACACATCTAATTAATGATTTATAAAGTAAATGGTTAGTTTTAGTAGTTCCAGTGTTATCAATCAGAAAGAGTCTCAGTAGGCATTCGATTTTATCTTTACCTGTTAATGTTACAAGCACGGCAAATAGTGAGATTACAGTGATAGAGTTATAGTAACATAACAAAGCAATAACAGTAAACAGTTTAAATTAAACCTATGCAATCTAATTACTAAACGCATGGAGTAACTAATAGCACAAGGCAATATAAAAATTGGGTAACCATACATGTCGAAGGCAGGATTCCATTTCCATGAGACGTTGACGGCTGATCTAATGAAAAAGTTGCTGCAGGCAGTTCAGTAGCATTCAAATCAGTACTAGGCCTACTTGATTTAGAACTGCTGGAGCTGGAAACCTCTACATCTGAAAAAAATTAACACAATTTTAATATTTTAAAACGTACCAAAAGTTTTAATTTGACGATTTTGGCTTAATGCTCATAACGTAGTTGTTCATAACAGATCATAAAGCTCACAATAAATTGTTTCATCAGTTTGAATTGGTAAAAAACATCTTGTATTCGACAGAAATTAGTAATTTAAATCAGCACAACTACAACAATCGTGCTGTTTTTTACTAAAAATTATATATTGTCCTCGTAAACAGGTCTTATTTTGCTTTTTACACAATGTTTAGGTAACGAAATAACATATAGTTGGCCTACGCCATATATACAACTGAAATAAACCTCTAAATATGGTGTGTATTCTAATCTTATCTTAGTTTAAACAATAATAATTATGAGGACAGAGGTTTTAAAGTACAATGTTTATTGGTACATAAATGGTTAAAATAGGGTTACAAAAATTGTTCAGGGGTGGGGATTTGTGCTGGCTGAATCAACAGATTTCCAATTTAAATTTTCAATAAGTATGGTAAGTTATAAATTAAATAATCTTTTAGAAACAATAAGTTAAATAGGAAGGATTTTGATTTTAATTAATGGAGGCAAATTGGGTCCAAATGGATACTTGAAGAGTCTAGTCTGAGTTAATAACTTAATAAAAATGGAATGTTCTCACCAATCTTCTCTAATAATAATTTTCTTCTTAGTAATGTATGCCTAAATTCTTCTTTCTTCAGTTAAATTTAGAAATTTTGACAATACTTTCTTTTATAATTTCACGATTATTTTCACATATTAAGTTAATAGATTCTGTGTGTTCTTCTTGGATACTTTAACTGCACTGTCAGTCTCATTGTTGTACATCATTTCCAGTTATGGGGTTCACATAAATAAAAACATGGTTGAAATTTACTTGTAATCTTGACCCCAGATGCACTGTATTTTAAATGGAGGAATTGTTTTGAATAATAATTTTGGATAAGCCAATGAATAAATTTTGATGATCAATTATTTATATGTTGAGACAATATGGTTTTAATAATATTAACAATGAACATAAATAAATATTGAAAATATAACAAGATTGTGTTTAGAATTTAAATAAGGACTATAATTATAAACATTGAATTTTGAGTCATTACACAGCATATTAATCTTACCTTTAAATGGTTTTAACAAGGCATCGAACATATTTTTGACCATCGAAGAATGGATTTCATTGTCACTCAAAGTTGCAAAGTTTGAAGAGCTAGGCCTATCCTCATCACTTGAGCTTTCTGTTACAAGTAGTTTTCGTACTACAGACTTCTTAGATGTTAATTTCAATTTTTTGTTTGGTACAATTTCATCTTCACTGGACATAAAAACCTTATTGGGTATTCCTTTTCTTTTGTTTTCTTTAGTACCAGTTCCCCCGTCTGTTTGCATATCAGATTCTTCAACAGCTAATTTTCCTTATCTCAGTAACCGTCTCTCAGTAACTGATCTAAAAATATTGTTTAAATTACGTAAGAGGACTATATTTTTTATTTTAGATAAACAAACATAGACCCATAAGCTTAATTCCCATACACTAATGTGTTGAGTTTTATATTTTTGCCTATAGATGAAATACTGTAAGTACAGTGATTGGGAGTGTGACAGGGTTTAGTAAATTACTCGGCATGCAGCTTCCGTCAGCCCAGTCAATTACGATAAAAATAAATATTGCTGTGTTGTGTTTGCCTAAAAAAGATCAGTTGTCAATTTGTAATTTAAATGGGTTTGAAGATATTAAAACAGAATATATGAATTGAAAGAAAAAAATATATGTATCGAAAAAAATCATCGATAATAATGAATGTTCCCTTTAACAGAAAAATCCCTCCAACTAGTTTTTAAGCTTAGCGTACTGCATTTTGTGACTAGACCTAACATACATTGTTATATTTGTTTGTAAGTTAGTGTAATATAATGTTATTTGGTTAAGATTGTTTTTAAATATAATTTTTTGTAAGTTAAAACATAGTCATTTTTTATCCCTCCCATAGATTTCTTGTTAAAGATTCCGGTATACCAATGGATGAAGGCCCAACAGTACCAAACTTAAACTTGAATACAAGTTTATAAGGCTATGAATTGAAATACTGTAACTTAAATGTAAGCATAGTTTGATTTAGCTGCGTTAAAACCGGAGTTAGGAAGGATAAATGTTCCCAAAAAACCAAGAACAACACCTTTTAAACAGAAATTTTGTTTTAGTGTTTACGATAGGAATTTTGTTTCCCACCAGAAGTCGGTAAAGATCAAAGGGTGTTCCAAACATAAGTACAAATTTGTTTTGGAATAAATTATGTACTTCTATGCTGTTTACAACACCTTTCCCCAGCCCCAACCACCAACTCACCTCCACGTGCCTAAGTAACTTGAGAGGGACTGATTTCGTGTTCTCAGGAACGCTGATTAAATAATTAATTCCAACAAAATCAAAGAAAATTATTATAATTTTCGATACCGGTACTCATATTGATCCGTTGTAAACTTATTGTTAGAAACAAATGTTAGGCCTACCAACAAAAATTTCCAAACATTTTGTTCCAAACTCCGGAGTGAACGTGGCTTTAAAGAGCTTTCTTCTCTAACTTTAAAGGTATGAATAAGCCTAATTATGTATTACAGAACATTTTTATTCATTCTAACAAAACCCAAAGCAATACATCTTAACAACTTACGTACCTAAGGCCTAGGCTAGTTTAAAAAAAAACTCATCTTACCTTGTTTGTGAAAAGATGAGGATTATATCGTTTAAGATAAAAAAAATTAAAAAAAACTATGAACAGTGACACGAATAACAAATAACGAACGAATATGAATACAGTATAATCCGAGTAAAATGCTAGTGGTGTCAAAATCCAATGCAAGATGGCTACTCACTGGCTTGAATAGCTAGTAACTAAACAAACTGAAACAATGCTTCACTTGTTCACTTCTTGGTAGTTAGACAAAACAAGGCTTATCGTGGTGCACTGTGGAAACTTAGTGGACTCGGACTGACTTTCGCATGTGCGAGGACTGGGCAATTTCGGAAGCAAATGCTGTTTACCGATAAAGAAAATATCAGTAATTATGTTAATATTATATAATCTCTCTTAACCATAATAAGTAAAACGGCACAGTTAGTAACCCATAGAGTTTTAAAATGGACGACAATTCCCCGACAATGGCCCGACGAAACTACCGTGTGTTGGGCCAACAGCACAAATACTGCGCTTGGGCCAATCATGGCAGATTGTTGGCAAACCAACCCACCATCTGCCAACCATGCCAAACAATTGCCAACATTGGCCCAACTAACCTTGTTGATAGGAGATAACCAAATAAGTTTAAATGAAAGACTTAATTGTTGTTTACTTAAACACAAAACCCTTCACACAGAAGCAGAAAATGTGTTGGAGTAAGTAATTGAAACTAATGGTGGGACTGGATTCCATTAGCTGCTGTTGATAATCTCGTGCAAAAAGTCCATCTGTCAACTCTTACTATCTGTAAAGCTCATGAGGTCATTGTGAACAGGCAACGTTATGTTGTCTCATTTAAGTAACAATAAAATCCCCATTTATCACATAAGGAGTGTGAAGGTAAAACATTGTATTAAATATTGTATTTGTTTAATACACTTTCTTATGAAAATAAAATCCGTACAAAAGTAATAAAAAAAAGTAGTATACTAGAATATCCATACCTACTGTTATCGAAACGGGCAATCTGTACAAGTTGTCTTTTGTAACGTAAAAACACTTGATACATTTACAGAAAATTATGGTGTTTAATAATATGTACTGTGCTCTAGCGTTAGAGCAACCAATACAATTTTTAATTTTAAAATTATGTTTTGTTGCCAACTTTTAAAACCAAGAACACATTTTACAGTATGAATACCAGGAAAGATCTAACAAAACATAAATACTTTAACATTTAAATACCTTAAAACTTTAAAACTTTTACAACAAAATATTATTGAAAATTAAGTAGGCGTACTAAAATAGCTCTACCAGGAGGAGTTGGCCTTTAGTATTCCTCGATAGCGGGCAGATATTTGCTTCCAGAGGCTCTGGAAAACATTTTCACATATCGTCAATTCGCTATGTAACAATGTCACAACCCTCTTGGCTTAGCCTTAAGTAAATCGTAAATCGGTTCTGAGATAGAGTCTAGTGTCCTAAAACATGAAAGTGGAACATACACAATATTATCTGCTGTTAGTCCTATTTGCATCAGCTCGGATGCGCCAAAGTGTGAACGGCTTGACACAAACATTGTCACTTGCTCTGTTAGAATAATCAACTAATCTAGAAAGCTTAAAAAATACAACACAATCATTTACATCACACTCCTTGTGCGATGTGAAGTCATGGATCTTGTTCTGAAACTTATTTTTTTAGTAACCTATATGAATCAAATTTTTATTATATATTTACTCGAATATCAAAATTGCTAACTCAAAACCCTCATTATTAGTAATCAGGCCATTGTGAAAGATTTGCTCCACAAGATTTGCCACTTGGTCAATCACATAAGTGACATTGATTGACGACGCCATTACGTTAGATTAACTAAATGCTTTCAATGTTGGTATTAGATTATTCAGTATATCAATCTATTAAGCAAGCTGTGTATAATCTCAATAATAACAATATTTAGATACTTCATTACCTTACATTTACATAACCAAACATAGCATTAATATACCTAAGCAATTAAATGGTAGTTATATAATCTTTATTCAACTATGTTTGAATACATTAAGAATTTCAGGGGTAATATTGGTAGCAGTATAAGATGAAATATGATTATAACGTCCCTTGATTGATTTATCTATATAACCAGTTGATATCATACAAAACTCGTATTTAGTTAATTCAATTTGTAATTTAATATTAAGGATCCAATTAGCGACATGTTTTACGGAACAATCCAAAACACGATTGTTAAATCTGCCAGATGAAATATTACCAGCTCAGTTCTGTTAATTAAAATCAACACTCAACAACTGGGAAAACAAATATTCGTTTTTGTTTGGTTCGGAAACTTACAAAAAGAGATTGATGACATAGACAAAGAGTTAATCAGGACATATTAATGGTCTCAGGGCAACTCATCTGTTTCTATTGATATTTCTTTCTTCTTCCTGAAAAGAAACACAGTTTGATCTAAAATAATTATAATTACAAAACGTGTAGATTAAAACGTTAACGTTAGGTCAGTTATGTAATAACCATAACTCCCTTTTCTTGGAAACCTACCAAAAAAACTTAAAAAATCACACTTTTAAAACCATAACACCATAGGAACATTATACTACATTACGTTGATCCGTATTTCAATTTATTTTACAGTCGATGAATTTAGACAATGATATATGACCCATAATGAAAAACTGTTTAAATTATACCTTGCTTTGCAGGAAACCCATTTATACAAACATAAAGTACTACTAGTCCAAATACCCAATTGTCTTCTCTAACACAAGGCTGCCGTAATACTAATGTGGCAACGCTGCAACCTACTGAAACACCTGCAACAATACTCGTGAATATTAGGCCTAGTAATCATGGAGCGCCTGAGCAATATTTGTGTTTATTCATTTTATTACCATTGCGATAGGCCGGAAGGTTTGACGTTACCACATACTAACATCTAGGCCTTGTATAGGACTAGGCTATGGTATTATATATGCCTTGTATTGGTTTTATTAAAATTTCAATCGTAAATTGTCGTTGCATTTGTTGAGGTATTTGGTTGAAATAATGTCTTGTTTACAATTTATAGGCGTACACGAATAAATAATGACAAAACAATAATCTAGTTAAAATCCACTTCGCTTGGAATTTGTTTCATATTCGTAAAATTAGGTTTATTTTATTTCTAAAAATATATTTGTACTGAGTGACAACTAAAAAGAGCTTTAAAATAGTTAACTGTGCTTAGGTTGAAATAGTTAAAACATGAAACTATCGTAATTTGTAAAAACTATATTTTATAAATACAATAACAAAAAAAAACTCCCTTACTTTGTCAATGTCACTAATTGAAATGGAAAAAAACCTGTTAGGCCATATAATTTGAATTAAAATGTATTTTACTTAACTATCAGATGACTAAAACAACCACCCTTTTTCGCAGTATGAATATTTAAAATGATTTGGCTGAATGAACAGTAAACACTAGACTTCAAACGCTTGTCAATATTTAGTTCATTAAATACCTTTCCAGTTTGATGTGCGATATAAAAGCTGTCCCACAGCAACATTTTTATTTTTACAAAATATATTAATTTGAAGGCCCATACTATAGCATACCAAGGGTTTCGTATTATGCTCATATAATGTATTAAACGGGTTTTTGCTAATGTCCAATCCTATGATTCTTATGAGAACTGTGTCTACAGGAGATATCCATTCAAATTTTAACTAGGATACTAATAGGGCACTAAGGGTCATAAAGGACCTTTAAAAAAAAAAATTGTCTAAACTTACTTTACAGAACCAAAAAAATTAACCGTTTACAGCTTATCATATGGAATGTATACTATTTTCCAAAAATAATATAAATAGTGTTATTACAAACATATTTACAGCTACTAATTGGAGTAAAAATTGATTAGTATTACTGAAGCATAAATTCGAATTGTTTCAGAGAAAAACTTCATATAATGGTATCCGGAATATGGTATACGTAATAAGCATGCACGATGATAGAGATTTTAAAGTGATATTGAACAAAAGTTTTGATGCAGAGGGCAATTTTGTCATTTGTTGACTTTTTCATATTTAAAACAAATAGTTGATCTTGAAAATGTGAAAATAGTATAAAGTGAAATAGTGCGATAAATAGTGGCCATCATAGGTATATAATAATTAAGTATATCTTAAGTATTATTATAAGTATTACTTATAGTGTGCTGCTGCAAATATGATTATGTAATATTCTTGTTGTACATTATAAACGATAAACTGTTTCGACTTATTCAACTAAATGTGTATTTACAGATATGAATAAAAGTCCCTTGATTTTATTGAACAGATCACTGCTTGTAAACTTTCTTAATTTTGACATTCTACATGTTTCAGGATATGAGCATGTTAAAAATATGGTGAAAGCTAGAGGGGTCAGTCTTAGCATCTAAATCGACTGTCTTCTCATGATGGATATAGTGGAGCATCATTTACAAAACTATGTAAAGTTAATTATTATCCATCCACGGATATTATCTTTATAAAGATTGTCAAATCAATAAGCTTAAAACGTATGTGTCATATTTCTTTTAGGCTTTATAATTTATTCAATTGTTTTGTATTAGTAATAATGAGTATTAAGTAGCCTATAAGCTATTTACAATGAACAAATACCATGGAAAATTTACCGGATCTTGTCAAATAAGGACAATGAAGAGCACTTAGCATTACACTTTCCAGTTTTAGAGTACACACACAATGTACCCTTTTAATACAAATGTAAAATTACACTTGTTATAAACACAGGTTGACAACTATTTCATCGTTTTCGTTATGTTTACACATTAACGAATTCATTACGAGTATTGAAAGAGATATAATTAATATGAGCACAATATTCTATTTAAAAATTACTTTTGAAAACTAGTTCGAGTATAATTATACCATTATCGTAATAAATAGACCAATCTTCAATAAAAGAATTTAACAATGTTAAATAAAAACTTGTCTTTATATAGGTTTGTTTGGTATTTATGTTCATAGTCGAGTTTTTTGAGATATATTTCTGTGGACAGAGTATTTTGTTTGGAATTAATACGGTAAGCATAAGTAATACAAGTTTAGTGTGCATATATGCCAATTATGTACAGATAATTAAGTCACCAATTAAATATTTCATCAGCTAATTAGACTCTAATAGGTTCATAATTGTGTGTTACCAACAAAACGATCGTAACAAATTCATTTAGGCTAAACGTTATTCTTA